CAATGTCCTTGCATCCCAAGTTGCGACAGCTCTGGACACCCTGAACTTTGCCCTGATGACCGAACGTAACCATCCGTCAGACACTACAGTGACTCCCAGGGCACCACGGAACTCCAGACACGGGCTGCGCCCTCGCATCATCACAGAGCGCATTTCGTCTGACCGATCCCGCTCTCCCACTCGAATTCGAACCCGGCCTTTGGACACGTCATCCACCTGGTATATACCGGCCTTATCCCCGCCTCGTGCGGCACATCGGGATGCTACTGATAACAATTCTGGTCTTCGGCCTGATTCGATGTTGGATCACCTGCCACCACCTCGACCGCTTGCTCCCTTAGCCCCACACGGTGGCCGAGAGCCAGGGCAGATGACGCCTACGACGCCTGACTTGGATTCTGATGGCTCCGTGCGGCCACATCCAGGTGCCTCGTCGTTCCGACCGTCTCCTACGGTGGTTCATGGTCCTCGGGAACTTCTACAAGAATTCACCATTGCACTTCGCAATGCACACCGCGAACCTTTCACGGCATGGACACAGGGTGAGCTGGATGAGATGGTACGACGGAAGAAAGACAAGGATTCCAGGCCCACCTATAAGACCATTGCTCGGTTCCTTCAGAAGCCCATTGAGGAAGTCAAGCAGGCATGGAAGGTCTATCAGCAACTTGAGGCTCGCGGCTAGGAAACCGGTCATCAAATGCAACTGCGACCACCGGAGGACTAAATGGTAAGCCGTGGCGGCGTATTCGGCTAGAGCTATTGATCACATGACATTTGCTTGCTTGCACTGGATTGCCATGTTACTAGGGAGCTATGGCTTGCCGTTTTTTGGGTGTTGACGCTCACGTGAAGTGAATTCATGACTGAGTTGCTCAAATCATGTCGGAACAAGTTGTACAGACGTACATTACCTGGACCCATGGAGCGCAGCCGACGTGGTTACAATTTTACGGACCTGGAGCCCTACTTGACAGACCCATTCGGCAGACTACGTCACCTCCGCCTCCGCCAAGTTTCCCACCGCTTCTTCCACCTCCTCCCCCTCCACCACCACCACCACCGGTGATTCTACACCCACAGTTTATGCCCTCAGTACGGAGTCCCTCGATCACAGCTCCTCGCGGACAGTCCTGCCCCACCACTCCGAAATCGCAGCGCACACGCCGCTCGATCTACAGCACTGACCATTCCCGGGATGAAGAGCTACACAGTCCAGGGCGCTCGTCTAAACGATCTCGGACAGCATCCGCTTCGGCACCGCGGAGATCTCGGCGGCCCTTTACAGTGTTCCCCTCCAAGCGTGCTGGCCGTACATCGTTGTCCCCATCGGCAAATTGCAAGCATTACTGTCATGCCATCTTGCACCACGGGCGGAAATGTCTTTCACCTTGTGATCGTAGACGACCAGGACATTACCATTGCAGATGTGCGCGGCATCAACGGCGGTGACGCTTAGGAGTCGTATATTTTGAACCTCGCTGCAGTGTCTCACCTTGAGTTTGAAAAGTTGCCTTGCTCTCCTTCAGCTGTGTGCGGTTGTCGTTGCATGTGTGTCTTCGCCGCAGATTTTCGATTGCTTTTAGCGGCATCGCGAGAGCTGCCGCTATGAACCCACAATACTTTGAGTACCAGATCGTCAGAGGAGTGGCATGGATTCGAATGTACTCTCCGGGCATCTGGAGACCCGTTCCCGATGATGCTCCGGTGCTGGCCCCACTCTACGCTTCCACGTATCGGGAGTGGCGCAGGTCATATCACTTTCAAGTGAACTGGTCCGAGGACAGCACCGGAGGCACAACAACGGATCCCATAGTCACGCCCAGTTCCTATGTATCCCACCACGTGTGGGAGTACCGAGACTGGCATACACGAGGGTATCAACGACTTGGAGCTCCTTTACCAGCCATTGGACCCACGACGCTCGTCAATGCGGACGGGCTCATCGGTGCCGGATGGGGCGTGGCGAGAACCGTCGCCGCCACCATTCTATGATCCCTGGAACGATTCGGAGTGACATTTGAGTAGCATGCCGGATAAATGATGTTGTGCGTCTTGCTTGGTTGTGCGTCCCGTTTCCAGGTGTTCGCCGCTGGCTTTTATGACTTCGAGCGGCTAGTTTGGTTGAAATGTTCAATTGTACAGTGTATGGCGCAGCACGATGGGTCCTGCCTCGCTACTTTGACTATGACATCGTCAATGGCCCAGCGGACACGAGTGTAGAATGGATTCGGATCTATGTACCAGGCCCGTGGCATCCAGTCGCCGCGAACACCTCGGGGCCAACCCCGGATGACTCAACCACCTATCGGGAATGGCGCAAGGCCCACCACTTTGAGGTTTATTGGCCGAGGGAAAGCACAGGAGGCACCAATACAGGCGCAGTTTCACAACCGGTATCTTATGCATCCTTCTATACATGGCATTATAGAGACTGGGTCACCAGGGGATACCAACGTCTGGGTCGCCCACGCCCTAGCATTGCGCGGCCAGTCTTCGCTTCGGGCGCACCTGACCTCATGTATGCTGGACTGACCTCTTCATCGGCATCCTCCAACTCTGATGATGGCTGATGCTCGCCCTCGCCTTCCTGGGGAGTCTGTTCTGTTCAATTCGATTCGGAAGATTGTCTTCGATACCGGAGCCGTGCAGTGCTACAAAAGTGATTTGTTTTTGTTCATGGCTTGTCTTGCATTTTGACAGTTGCTTCGCTTTCAATCATTGTTGTCTGCAGCCGTACACCTTTCAATTTGTCTTTCCGGGTTGCGTTGTCATGCCGTGGCTGGAATGGTGTCCGGATCCTCAACAACCAGATGCCCAGTGGGTCAAGATCTTTCATCCGGGATCCTGGACTCCACATGAAGAACATGATGCTCCACCTCCACCGCACACGTATAGAGAGTGGAAAGAGTTCGATGCTCCCAACCCTGACCCAGTCGGTGAGCAGTCCCAAGGCACCATGTGGTACAAAAGAGACTGGGCCACAGAGGGCTACCGGAGAGTCGCTGCCCCTCAAGCTGGTCATGAATTTGATTCCATGTGTTCTCCTGACCATCACAGCGTGGCCACGCAATCCGCGGCATTGAGTATATCACCGCAGCTGTTAGACGCGATCCTCAGATCCTCGGATGCGGCGGATTTCTCTACCGAAGATCTGACTCGTCTCCAAGAGGGGATTTCTCAACAACTGACAGCTCGCGCACGTCACGCTTCTCAACCTCATCTACCAGTACGTGCATCACGTGGAATCACACCATCGGAGACGGTTGGGGTCTCCGAGCCTTACCGGCCCGTAAATCCTTCCGACAGCGGCAAGGACAAGGCGAGTCCCATCTTCGAGCTAACTGAGGACTAGACTCACGGGAGTGGCACAGCGTACAAAAGAAGGGTGGTCTTTACATTTGCATGACCCTGCTTGGTTGTTGCTTGTTCATAGTTGTGCATGGTGCATGTTCCTCTATCAGCTGGATCGGAGCCCGCGACACGCCTTGTCCCCTACTTCGACATGGACATTGATGATTCGAAGCAGCACCCATGACTCGAATACTCGGTCTGGAAGGATCAGGAGTGGGTGCGGATCTACACTCCAGGACAGTCTCAGCGATGGCACCGCGGTGAAACCGTACCTGATCTACCAGACAATTCTTTTCGGGAATGGCAGCGGGTGACTGACCCCAATGGGCTCACTGGTGAGCACGGCCAGGCATGGAACATCCGTGACTGGCAGCATCAAGGATACCAGCGCATTCTGTCTCGAATGGAGTCCTTCTCAACTCATCATTCGCATGATCAATCTCTTGGTCAAGTTCGGAATTCCGATACCATTCCAGTTGAGGAGACGTTCACCTACGCCACCCCGTTTTCCCATGGTGATCGCCAGGCTGCTTCACAACTCGCTTCGGTCCTCTATGGCGACACTCGTAATGCTCAACGTGGTGGTCTCTCGTTCCCGTCTTCTGAGCGGTTTAGGGCTGTTTCGCGTTCCCCTCGCCGCGGTGGATATTTTGGTCAACGATAGGGACACGGGTTTGAGCATGAGATCTTCCGGCAGAAAAGGAGAATCCTCGCCCCTCATTGAGGGGCGTGTGTGTGCGGAGTGACAGAATGCCCTGTCACCACTCTTTCGGTTTTCAGCAGGGGCGTGCAGCACCTTTGGCATACTGCACGCAATGAAGCTATTGCCAAAGGTGGGAAGGGTGTCCAGACGTGGACACCTGTACCTGCTTCAGTGATTCTGAAAGTCTTTTTGGCCTCCTTGGTTGCGGCGCTGTTTGTGCTTCTTGTTCTTTCGGGTAACGTGTTCGCTGCTAGACGGAAACCAAGTGACTGCAAGCCGAACCTACACCCACTCGAGACTCATCAGTTGTACTCGAGACTCATCAGTTGTACTCGAAAGATTAGCACTCTCCATCTGGAGTTCAAGTGTGTGTGTGTGTGTGTGTGTTTGCTGGTTTTTTTGTTTTTTTGGGGGAGGTGGAAGAATGACCCTCTGTTGGTTGGTTTCGAAGGGAAGCCGGAAGGAAAGCCCTCGTGCTGGGGGCTCCGCAAAAAGCAAGCTGGTTCCTTGGCTGCTTTGAAAAGGGACGCCAGCGAAGACTGTTTGCGGACTGAAAAGGACTTTCGGAAGATGCCCAAATGCGCAGGCTGGCAAACACCCTGCATTCTCAAATTGGCGGACCCTAAAAAATGTCTTGGTTTCTGTCAAGACAATCCTGTTGGGCAAAGTCTCAACTGACTTGGGGGCCCATAGTTTCCGTGCAAAGAGATCCCACAAATTGGTTGACATACAACCCCATGTAAGCAAGGGTCCCAACGAAGTATCAAGAAGGGGTATGTGTTTAATTTGAGGTTGGATATCTCCAACCAGTTGTTATGGATTTCATGTTGGTTTACGTAAACCCTCACACAGGGTTTTGAAGGGACAAGATATGGAGGGAGACCCATGACCTGAGGATAAAGGTTGGTCGACAGGGGCCCGGCCCTGCACAGAAGCAACGCAGGCTTCGGCCCTGCCGTTGGGTGGCGCAGCCGCTGAGCACACCGACCTTTGTAGCCACCAACCAGGCCCGGCTTGGTGGGCATTAATGGGCTGGCATTTGGGGCGGTCGTTTTTTTTCAGGGTAGCCCACTTATTCTTGTGGTTTTAAAGGACAACCAAGACAGTTCCTTGGCCCCAAAACGACCTGAGTTGTCCGTAAGCGCCATGCCTTGCCTCAGGCCGGCCTACAGCAGGCTCTGCATGCCTGGAGGCCGGGCCCGGCCTCCACCCGGCCTCCAGCGGGACCGAGCAGTTTTCTGAGCGGCCCCCGTTGGCAGGCGCCTCCACACGGCGCTAGAGGCGAGGCGTTTTGCTTGAAATGGGTATGGGTCCAAACCAAAGCGCCATATTGGACCGCAGGGTTTAGTCCATGTTTCCACTTACCAGGGTTCCATTTTGGGTACACTTTTTTGAGCCACAGCCGAATTCGGCACGGGTCAAAATGACTCCGCCAGGATGTGGACCGTGCTTGGCTCCACTTTCAAGGGCAATCCATTTTGGGATGACCAACTATCTATGACAACCACAGCCAAACAGGGGGTTTCAAGCGATGCATAGTGAAACGTCAAGGGGTTCGTGTAGACCCCTCGCGTCGGCTCGCTTTCGTTGAGTGCGCTTGACAGGACCTGCGCGCCACAGAAAGCGCGGGCCCTCCGTCCTCGGAGGCGCGTTCTATTCACGACTTTCTCCTAAACTGATTTAAATTATGTTATTTTTCGTACGGTGCGGACGTCCAACAAACACGATAACTGAGACAAAAGCAAACTGAACAACGGCGCGGGACGTAACCTCAGAATGAATAACGTCAGGAATACACCCCAGACAAGTATTTTGACACCGGCTCATCTCCAACGTCTCCAACTCCCGGGCTTCAGGTCAGCTACCTGGGTTTCGGGCAATTTGAACCCCTGCTGTTTGGCGAAGCCAAATGGAGAAGGCAACCCCCAAGTTTTGTTTCCTTCTTTTTTTTCCCCGGGCTCCAAAGCCGCCAGAAAACCTGAAAGGCAGCAGTCAAGGTCCAAACCTTTGGGCTCACCACCCAAAGCCCGGCAGAAGTTTCAGGAGGAGAGGTCCTGGATGGCGCTGCGGGGCGCGCTTCTGGACGTGGAGGCGGAGAAGGGCCTGCCGCGGCAGCTGCGGGAGCGGCGCCTGGCGCGGCGCAGAGAGGGAAGGGAGAGGGGTGGGGTGGTTGGTGGGGTGGTTGGTTGGGTGGTTGGTTGGTTGCTTGGTTGGTGGGTTTTGGATGGAGTGGTATCAGGGTTGGGCAATTCCATATTTTTGTGGAAGCCAAAAGCAGCTGTTCAGAGAACAGCTGTGCGGTTTTCAACGAGGGTTTGGCCCAGCGGGGGGACAACCAATGACCAAGGCGCAGGCTCAACACAGCCGCGCAGCGCACCGGCAGCGGCTCTTGGAGAGGTGGCGCAGGGCTGAGCATTTGGCTTAGGGAGCACAAGGTGTTTTTCTTTTTTGTTTTTGGAGGGTGCCCTTCTTTCAGTGGTTTAAAGGGAAGTTGAAATGGAAGCCTTTGCGGTCCCCTTCTTTGACACATTCCGAATGGCTTTGGACAGAAGCCGCCAAGCGGACTGGGACCCCGAGACAAATTTCGGCACTTGTGCAGGTTGGCTTTGGGTTCCCTTTTTCGAGATCCACCCACATGGGTGTGTCGGTTTTGGAGGCTTGGCATTCTTCTCGATTGGTAGTGAAGCCAAGAGGATAGGCAAATCCCTTTGAAGCCGAGGAATCGCCAGCGCATGGCAGGTGAAGACCGTTTGGCCCAGGTGGGGACTTGCTTGAGTTTTGCCAGCCAGTGGTTTGATTTGCAAAACCGATGGCACCTCTTCCCAGGCTGGAAGAAAGCGTGACAGGCCCGAGCTGTTTGGTCCAATTGGCCAGCGCCTGGAGTCTGTGTAAAAAAGAACGAGCCATTTTGGGTTGTTGAAACAGGGAATCCGGAGGTAGACCGCTGAGTTTTTGGGTTCCTTCATTTGGAGGGCAAACAAACACGTCAACTCGCTTCCGTTCAACTTTTTTGGGGCCTCCGGGCGCAGGGGCTTCCAGCAACGTGGGCTCCGGCTGTTGGAGCGGCTGGCGCGAGCGGAGCAAGGTGTGGGGGACGAGCTCCAAATTTGCCCGCCAAAACCCAGGGGCTCAAGCAATGTCTCCACGTCCTCCTGGAAAAGCAAGTAGTTTTGACTGTGGCTCATTGCATTCGACTTGGGAAACATCAAATATGATGCTGGTGCTACTAGGGTGGTTGTCAACACTCATTGCAGACCCTGATTTCCAAAAGGCGGCAGCCAAACGCACCGAGTGTCCAAAAAGGGGGCTTCGCAGTGTTTGACAGACGCCCCGTTTGTTTTCGACGTAATTCCAGGCACCCGTTTCCGAGCCTAGCTTTCTTTTGAAGCGAGAAGTTTTTGGGGCCTCGATTCCCCACGTGAAGGCTTAGAACCCTTCTTTCCTTCCTTCTTTTGTTTGGGTGTTTGGGGGGGAGGAAGGGCCTTAGAACCTTTCCCTCCTTTTTTTTTTTTTGTGGGGGGGGGGAAAGGGCCTTAGAACCTTTCCTTCCTTCTATTTTAATTATTTAATTGCTTTTTTTTTGGGGGGGGGAGGGGCCTTAGAACCTTTCCTTCCTTCTATTTGTTTTATTATATATCTATTTCTTGGGGGGAAAGGGCCTTAGAACCTTTCCTTCCTTCTATTTTTTTTTGGGGGGGCGAGGAAGGGCCTTAGAACCTTTCCTTCCTTCTATTTTTTTTTTTGGGGGGGAGGAAGGGCCTTAGAACCTTTCCTTCCTTCTATTTTCATTATTTATATATTTTTTTGGGGGGGAGGAGGGGCCTTAGAACCTTTCCTTCTTCCTATGTTTTTTTTCCTTTTGGGGGAGGAGGAAGGGCTTGGATTGGGCTGGAAGCTCCAAAACCCGATGCGCAGGCCTGAGGCAGGCGAAGGGGCTGCGGGGCGCGGGCCTCGGGGCATGGGGGCGGTGGGATGAGCGGAGGTTGGCGTATCTTTCGCATGAGCCACGTGCTCAAAGCCCGGGTAGATGAAGGTTAGTAAGGGCCACTCCCAGCCAGAAAGAGCTGCGGCCGCCTTCTTCTTTTTTTCTTTACATGGCTGTGGGTTCACCATTTGCATACCGGGTTTTGATTGTGGCTCACATGACGTGCTCATTTTGAGAGGTCAGTTCTTGATACATTCGCAAATCTGTCATCATCGTACCTCCAGCATCACTCAAAAGTCCACAAGTGGGGTCATTGCGACTTGAACAATTCCGTTTGCAATCGTCACCCCAGTAACGGGGTTCATGGGGTGCCTGCCTTCTCACTTAAGTTTGTGGCTTCACTGCATGGGAAATCTTTCAAAGAACAACCTGCATCGCGCAAGGCCGGCGGTTGGAATACGAAAGGGCAATGACAACGAACATGCGAAAGGGCTACAAGAGTAGTAAGGCAGTTGCTAAAAGATGAGCCTTTCAAGCTGCTTGGCCTCTGCGAAAGGAAACCTGATGGCCGCCCGACATAGCCGTCATACCGTATCATGCCCATGTTGGTAGCACTCACAATCAATGGATGGATTTGGGGCACGTCTCAACCTTGGCGATGAGGTACCACTGCATCCTCAAGCTCCACCTTTGGCCCATGAGAGTGGCCCCGGCGAGCCAAGTGCCACAGCCAAGCATTGGAAAGGGGCCAAGTGATGTTTGCACCTTTGCCAGGGGTGCGCGTTGCACGCCATTTAATGTGAAAAACCGATGGCCCAGTGTAGCGAGTTGGTCAGTAGATTCTTGGTGTTAAAATGACCTGCCTTGAATCCGACAAGCGGCCCCTTTTGGCAGTGGCTGGGGCCCGTCTGCCCTACAGCAGTTTCGGGACAGAGGGCCTCTGATTTTGTGCGTCTCAGCACCTCTGGAGATGCGGATGTGAAAAAGATGGGGACCCATCCAGGTGGGTTTCCTTGAGCTTCTCCTCAAGACCGACCATGGCTTTGTGCTCAATGCATCATTTCCATGTTGAGTCCTGGTGCTTTGTGTTTGGTGCTTTAAGTTAGCTTACCCAGTGCGCAGAATTGAGGACGCTACATGCAAAGCTTTGGCGGCACAAGCGACACGATTTCTGGCACATAGGCTGAAGAAACTAGCAATATCTCAACCTATTTGCTGACTAAACTTCCTGATATCGCATCCCTGTCTGTTATGAGTCATGATGCTTGGCTAATATTGTTGGTGGCTGAGCTTGCATGTTCTTGGCATTCACTTCAGCAACATCCTTGACTTCAGATGTCGTTGCACCGGATGGACATGGTCAGACAACCCCAGCGGACCACAGTCAAGTACCAGTTCCAAGTGTGTGCAAAGAACACGGAAGTGGGCGACAAGGTCTTCCTTGTGGGAGGTGCCTGGGTTTGAATTTGAGGCTGGTGCAGTCCGGACTTTCTGTGTGATTCTCCACCCTAGGCGACATGTCGCACGCTTGCAATGACATTGTAGCATATTTCCATAGATTACTACTGGTCGGGGCGGCCTACGGTCGCTTCGAGTGCTTTCCGAGCTTGGACGACTCGGAAGCTGCGGAGACGTGTTCCGCGGACCAGGTGGCGCTGCAGAAGCTCGGCGGAACTTGATGAATCGGTATGCAATGCAAGGGGCGCACCACAAACCTTTGGTTCCCTTCAAACAAACCCCAAAACACCAAAAACGGGAACAGGTCGAAAAGACACAAGCCCAGATTGCTCAGCAGGTTGTACCCCTACGCAAGTTTCTGTTTCCCCATCAGCCCTTTGAGGACTTGCTCAAATCCAGCTTGTGGGCATGTGTCGAGCAAGATAGCTCCCTGGAAAGAACGAGGGAAGAACAGCTGGAAAGAAGGGTGGGTGTGGTTCCTTGGTCGAAACCGTGGGTGTGGACATGTATTGGCTTCAGTTTAGTTCTACTCAGCCACCAGTGGAACCGTAGCCCGTTCAATTTTTCCAACGTCACGCCGATTTGGGCGTGGTTCCTTTGTTGAGGGTACCATTTTGTGGGAGTTGGTCTTTCGGGGGCAAAGACCTAATGCATCTTTGAGGGAGTTGGTCTGTTGGGGGCAAGCAAGCAAGCTTGTGCCCCAAGAGCGGGTCTTTGCCCCTTGACTCCCAAAAGCTTCTTGTCTTCCTTGGGAGAGACCCTTGGGAGAGACCTTTTCGCTTGAGGAGTGGGGCTTCTTGAGTCAGTCCCAAAAGCGGAACGTGTCCCAAGACCCGCGAAACGCGTGGCTCCTTCGCTTCAGGCTGGTGCCGCCCAACTTTGAGGAGATGCTGCAGAAGGCGCTGGACGACAAGCTGCAGATCGAGATGGAGCACCAGGACGGCCAAACTGGCCAGCTTTCATGACAGCTTGGTAGATGTCTGCATGGGGTTCGAACAAGAGCATATAGATTTCCTTTTGGTTTCCGTTTGCAGTTGGGTGGCAGAGGCGTTCCGCTGGTAGGTGTAGTCATCCCCGTTACCGGAATCCGGAAACTGCGCCAGCTTCTTTGACCAAAAGCGCTGGTTCTAGAAGACCAAGATTTGCAGAGTTTCTTTGCGTTCCTTGGCTATCCTTGCGTAAATGGCACTTTCCAGGGGCCATAGGAGAAGCATCTCCAGTTCTCAAAAAGCTTCCGTTGGGAGCGCGGAGGAGCTCGCCAAGCAGGAGATCATGGAGAAGAACCACGAGCTCTTCACCCAGAACCAGGAGCTGCGCCAGCGGATGGACAGGATGGACTTCCTCCTCTCCAAGGTCAGCGGTCGTCAAAGAATACATGGGCTTGTCCTTGTAAAGGGCGCCGGTTTTTCCTTTTTGGAGGTCTTCCTTGAAAGGCTGCGCTTGAAAGCCGCCCCCAAAAGAGGGTACCTCGAAAGCACAAGCCCGATTGATCCGAAACAGTTGCGGTTGCCAATTTCGGCTGATTGAAAGGCCGGTAGGCTGACGCCGATTTCCGATTTCTTTGGCGAAAGCCGCCGCAGGTCCTGCTCGAGCGGCAGGGCAACGTGCATCCACGTGACCTGGAAGGTGGTGGCCACCCTAGCTTTCAGCGGGCCGGGCAGTGACCCTTTCAGTTTGCAGAGGAAAAGACGAGCCAAGCCACGCAGAAATGAGCTGAGAGACATCTTTCTTCGAGTTCGCTGCGCCTGCGTCGCCCGGGTTTTGTTCAACACTGGCTACGATCCGAATTGCAATGTGCTTGCACGCAGTCTGTGTCGTAGCAGGCCTAACTAAGTAGTGGTGTTCGCTAGCCAGTCAGATTGTTAGCCAGCCAGTTAATTAGATACTGTGCTGGTTTGGTAGTGCGCCTGTTTGAGAGCAGGCTAGTTGGCAATGTCAGCATGGCTGGCTGGTTTGCGCGTGAGCTAGCTCGCTAGTTAGATACTTGGCTCAGCTCAGTTGGCTAGCTTGCTAGTTCGCTAGTTAGTTGGCTCACTTTGCTGGTTAGCGAGTTAGCCAGTCAGCAAGTTAGAAATTCAGCAAATTAGCTGCTTTGGGTAGTTGGCTCGTTCACGAGTATGCTAGAAAACGAACTAGCCAATTAGGTCAGCTGGTTGGCTGCTTAGCAAGCTGGCTGGCTACTTAGTCAACTGACTTGCCAGCGAGCTACACTGCTAACCTAGAAAATTATTGGAGAGATAGTTGGCTGGATAGTTAGTTAGTTAGTTAGCTAGCTAGCTAGCTAGTTAGTTAGCCCATGAAAATAGCTAAGCACCACGGTGTCAGCTTTTGTTGTGCCGAGTCTGGGAAGGTTCTGCCAGACATCTCTCCTTTGCAACATTAAAAAGACCTCGCTGTTCAGCTGTCAAGCATTTAACGCATCGCCACTGTGGCGCTTTTTTTCATTAATTTGCTGCTCCAAATCTCATTTTTTCCTATATTTCAGAGCCCCAACACGTGAGTCGTTTCTGCTCACTCACAGTTTGGCCCTTTGTGTCTGAACATTTGATGCAGGCCTGGCTGAGTACTTTATCTGATGCTATTAATGGATGTTTTGCAATCAGCGCCTCCAAGCACCCATTGACAGGGCAAGAGTCCTTTGTGGTGACGCAAGCCCAAAGCAAGGGCCGCAAGTGTGTGTTTAGCGGTTCCCCAACTTTTGCGCACATTGCCCATTCCAATTCTGAAGCGTGCTCATGGTGCAAAGTGGAACATCGGAAAGCTGGCAAGCCGACCTCGTAGGACCCAGGATTAATAAACCCTAGAGGCCCTAGAGGGGGTGGGGGGGTGATGATTCCCTTGGCCTAATCCGTTCCCACGAGGTCAAGTATGGCGCCGAACCGCCCATGGCAGGAATTTTCTGATTTGCCCTCGCTGAATATTTGCCTGACGTTAGGATTCGGATTGCGTACTTGTGAGCCACCCGGTCTGTTTTGTGTTTTTGCACACTCGCCGCGCAACAGCCATTGTTGCTGGAAAAAGCAAGCAAGCAAGCAAGAACATCGACTTGTGCTTCTTGAATTGTGACTCAGTGAGCCAGCTTTCCAGAACGGTTCTAGCGTTTCAGCGCTCGCGCCGTGCATTCACCGATCGTGCAGCGCTCGCTGAGGTTCAACGGCCTCATGGGAAGAAGTCGAGCGAGAGGCCGAGCAGGCCGAGCAGGAGGAGGCTGTGGAGGGCGCGTGAACGAGCACCAGCCAGAGGTTTCCGGGCGCCGAAGGCTTCTGGGTTTGCCTTCTGGAGGTTTAGGTCTGACGAGGGAGGGGCAAGTGCAGCTGCCTCTCCGATTTAATTTCACTTGGAAAACGCTGCGGGCCACGCCTGCCACAGGTTTGGGTGCGTCTCAATTTGCGAAGTTCTCTTTTGGATGGTTTCTAATGTAAACCCCAAGGACACCAATGAACGGGCTCCTTGACGTACCCATTTGAGGAAGTTTTGAGCAACCCTGTACATACCAGGAATCGGAAACCACAGATGCGGTTCCGAGGAAGTTTGATGATTGCATGTATCGAGGGAGGCCCGACATTTGCACATCCTCTGCGGGCCATTCTCGGGATCAAAGAAGCAGATTATTATTTGCCAGGAAGTTCCTGGTTCCGAGTGCTGTCAGACGTCGCACAGCCTGAGCACTGCAAAAGGAGCGATTCTGTGATTGAGCGCGCTGGGGTTCAGCTGGTTTGCATGGGCTTGACGATGCCCTGGGAGCTCGGCTTGAACGAAAGGAGAGACACAAATCCACAACATGGCGGGTTCCCGGCTTTGACACTGCACTACGAACTCTTTTGATGAATGGTTCCGATCACAGCTTGACAATACGCTTGCCATGCATCCCAGTAGAAGTTTCGTGTATCAACGATTAAAACAACCAAAAAAACAACAAAAAACAAACAAACACCACTCTCACGACGCAGAACCGGTCCGATTTCCGCGGGCATGCGACGAGGCACCGTCCGCAGGCGGGGTTGGCAGAATCTGAGTGGGAGGGAGGAATGGAAGGGTCGCAAGGGTCGACGGGCGACCGAGGTGCCTGACTGTCCCAATTTTCGCTTTGACTTTGCCGCTCCGCTGCACGAGACATCGAGTTTCTCTGGCGGCCTTTTGTCGAAACGGGCTCGGGCCCCATCTGAAGCTTTTGAAGTTTGTTTAGCTGGAATGACCAACAAGCGGTCCAAGTAGTCCAGACCCGGGCAATTATGTGCAGTTTGCCGGCATGCTTTACTCGTTTCATGGTTGCACTCGTTGCTCGCAAGGGTGAAGCAGCCCGGTGTGGGTATCAAATGGCAACTCAGGCTCAGCATGGCGAAGGCGGGTGGACGCTTTGAGATCTTTGTTTGCAGCCGTGGGCATGGCCCCAGAAATGATGGTTGGAAGCTGGAACAAAGTTGCCCCCCCCCCCACTTTACAAAACTGGTTTTGAAGGGAAACGCGCGGTCAAACCCCTTTCAGCTTGCGGTGCGCCCATTTTGGTGGGAAGTCAAAAGGACTGGCATTTGACGGATTATGTGAGCAAAGACAAAAAGACCGCTAGGAAGTCAGAAGATTTGCTCATTGCCCACGCCACTGCAGGGTCCACATCCAACTGGATGGGGGTTTGTCTCCAAATAGTGGACCCCGCAAATCTGTGAAGATGTGCGGCTCTTTCCTTTTCGAAGAGCCGCGCCGAGTTTCAAAGCCAGCCCCGTCTTTCGTTGGGAGGTGTTCATCCCCACGGCGCGCCTGGAGAACGGCAGCGAGATGCAGAAGCTGTCCCTGGGCCTGTACAATGTGCCCAGGGATCAGGTCAAGGCTCGCAATGGAAGCCAAACGCTTGGTTTTGGTTTGGTGAAGCGGCAAAAGCGCGAGACATTTGAGCCGGAACCCTGGCTTCACTTGGTTCTGGCTCAAATTTTGTTGGGCCCCTGGTTTCAAACGGATTCCGCATCCAGTTTTCCTTGGGCCCCTGGTTTCAAAAGGATTCCTGGAGCTCTTTCTTGCCTCGGTCTTGGGGACTCTTTGATCCGCCCGGAGCGACGCGGAATGCCATGGGAGGCCGTGGTGGACGCCGGCCTGGCGGCGGGGCTTCGGAGCTTCGACTCCGCCTCCTTCTACGACAATGAGGCGGTGGTCTGAGGTTTGGGCGACTTCTGTGATGGCTGTTTTGTTTTTTCTTCTTTCTCTTCTTCTTTTGTTCATCATTGTTTTGTTTGTTTGTTTGTTTGTTTGTTTGTTTGTTTGTTTGTTTGTTTGTTTGTTTGTTTGTTTGTTTGTTTGTTTGTTTGTTTTTTGTTTGTTTGTTTTTTGGTTGGGTTTTGTTTGACTTTCAACAAAGACGACTTCGCCAGGACCCCCGGGAACATCCAACCCCCTTTGCCCCGCCTTCCACTTGCCATGCCAGGTGGAGGTGGGCGAGGCCTTGCGGTCCTGGATGGCCTCAGGCCCCGAGGGAACTCAAAAGCAGATCCCGTGGGGCTCTGGATTTTTGCTCCAGTTCCCCCCCCCCCCCCAACAAAAAGAAGACATAAGGAAGAAACCAATTGAGGCAGCCACAATATTTCAGAGTGAAGCTTGGACATTTGATGTCGGAGCCGGCTTCTTTTCGGTTTCCCCCCAGGTTCCTTTTTTTGCCCCCGCTTTTTGGGGCAACCGCACATGTTTCAGAGCGAAACTTGGATGCTTGATGTTGGAGTCGATGTTTTTGTTTTGACGAAGGGGGACAGTGAGGAACCCTGTCGATCGTTTGCTGCTGGCTGGAACACGGGAGACAACTCTGGAGGGGGCTCCGGGCTGGGTCTTTCAGGCCACGATCGCTCCGAGCTCTTTGTCACCACCAAGGCTGTGTCTGCCGCTACGTTGGCGAAACCGTAGATGACGGTCAGCTTGGGTCTGTCAAGTTGACATCCGCCATTCTGGGGTACTGCACTTGCACTGAAAAGCGCCGCGAGGCGGATGGCCTCCTTTGTTTGGAGCTGGTAGAAGCGAGCTCCAGGGCATCAAAACGATGGCCTTGAAGACCTGGTAAACAGTAAGAGGGAGTTGGGGACTGAGAGGAGGTTGTGGACTCTCCATGCGGTTCCAAGGCATTGTGTGGTCGTAGGGCGTGTCAAAACGAGTTGATCTCCTTTGTTTGACATGAAGCAAACCGTGAGGAAGGCCAAGCTTGTCTTGATAGCCATGCGTCGCAATCTCGAAATCTCCCCTCGTCCTAGATGGGAGGGAATCATGGGCGGTTTTTCTTGGCATCCCTTTAAAACAACCCGAGTAGGCTGGCCCTGAACAACCAGGCCGTCCATGTCCCCAATTCGCGCGCACTCTGCGCGCGTCAGGTTTGGACGACGGACCTGGGAGACCCCGAGTCCGCGGCGAGAAGCGCCGAAACTTGGGGGCCGTAGGTCTCAACGCCGAGGTCGAAACTTTTGCTCGCTGAGACCGGGAGACTTTGCGTCCCTTTGGGGCTGTGGCCTGGGATCCCTTTGGGGGGGCTGTGGCCTGGGATCGCTTTGAATCCGCGACTGGCCGAGGCTTGAAACTGGTCTATGGCTCAGGGCTCTTCGGATTTTTTCCGCTCTCTGTTCAAAAGGGAAGTTAAGTGGAACCGGGCCCCATGTAGAGGGGTGTCCGCTATTTGGCCATGCATCTTACTGGTTGGAACACCCAACACAGTGAGCAATGTACATACAAGCCCATGCAAATGTAAATGATGTCCGCCAACAGCTCCGACGGAAGCAGGCAAAGCAAGCGAGGGTGTCAAGAACCCTTTTGGGTTGCGCGGAACCGTTTTTGGCTTGAACTTAACGGGAAGTCAACAATGCAATTGCTCATATTTCGTATCTCTCTGTCTCTCTGGTAAATAGTAAAAATATTTCAGTATCTATATCTTATATATATAATATATAGATATATACTATCTGTGATTAGCCATGGTTTTATTTCATCACCAGGGATGTCGCGGTAGTGACTGACCTGTGGTGTTTGGCTCAAGTTTTGGGTTCCGTCGCGCCTCGAATGGGCGTCGCCGAACCCCTGCGTCGACCGACGGCATCTCGGGGGAGAAAGAGACCTCGGGCCGCCGCCAGGTTGGTAGGGACCAGTCGTGCGGCCTGTTGTCGACCAAGGTTGCGGGTTAACCCTTTTCTTGTTTGGTTTGTTTTCCTTTGGTTGTTGTTCTCTGGTGTGTGGGAAACCCTGATCTTTGGGACCGGGGATTGGTTTGCTTTTGGGGAACCTTTCTTTTGTGGCTTGTTTACCCCAACTTACCCATTGCCTGGGCACAGGCTCGTGCCCGAATCACAGGTTATCAGCCGTAGGACTTTCCTACGCGCTTGAGACCATCAACTACAAGCTCTATGTCGACCCCACGATCTCGAAGGAGCGTCGTGGATGAGGAGGCCATCCTAGGTGGCCTCCGCTCAGGTGAGGACCTGCCGGACTATGACTACGAGGATTTCGAAGCAGGTTCGACAGGTCAGGACCGCAGGGGTGAAGATCCCGGTAGGGATACACCCAGGGGCCGTGGCAGGTACGCCGACGATGGAGACGATCGTATTTTCCGCCAGGCCACTGATGACGAGCGGACACGAAGGGTTTACTCCGGTAGGAGTGGCTCTGAATCAGGTCACAGGCGTGGACATTTTGACTTCATCAGCATGGCGATGGACATGGCCCGCCCTCATTCGGATGACCCGGAGGCCATGCCGATTCGACCTCCGAGATCTCTTGTTCCAGGTGAGTCGCAGGTCTCGGATGAGTTTGAGAATAGGCCGCAGGGACCAGGGACTATGGTTCTGGCTCCGGGAGGTATCCCGGGCCGATCCACTGGTTCTCAGAATCCAGGTCAGTTTGATGAGCACGAGGAGCGGAAATTCACGGACTTCGGATACGATGATCTGTTGAGATCAACCGCAGGTTGGGGCAGTAGCTCAAAGCAGGGGTCTGATGCCGGTAGGCCCAACCCTAATACTGCCAAATCTGAGTCTTATGATGGCGAAGATTACAATTTTGCGGATGAGGAGGAGAGCCATTCGCGCCGAGATGCAGGCAGCCGTGAGACTGCAAGGACTAATCCCGCCGCTGCCAAGTTTGAGGTCGATGATGATGACGAGTATGCCGCGTTTGCGGATCGCCGTGATGAGGAGGAGGACCAACCACGACGAAATGCTAGGATCCGTGATGCTGCGAGGCCCAGGAGCCTCTCTCGTGGAGCCGTCAGGGACCTTCGTGTTGACAGGGACGCCAGAAGCGAGAGAGAGAGAGCCAGGGAAAGTCGGGAAGTTCTTCGGGGATTGGAGGCCATTCATGACCGCGAGGGACCGGTAGGTCCCCCGGCTATTGGTGATTCCCCGAATGTTCCCCCCTTTCCCAACATCACATTTGGAGGTCCGTTGAGTCAGAGAGACGTGAGCTCGAACCGGGTTACTGGTTCACCGAGGATCACTGAGCGGGCTGCCGATGTTGTTAGGACAGGTGCCAGAGATGGTCGGCTTGCCGATGCACTCGGGATCGAAGATCGTCCGTCGATCGCTAGCCCGTTAGGGCGAGATACCAGTGATCTTGAAACTCTGAGGTCAAGCAACGAGTTCACACCTCAATGGGGTTCGACTGCCAGGGAACGTAGTGTTTCTGCAAAGAGACCGCCACCTCTCGCCGCTGAGACCGATAGGTCAAAGGCGAGGAGGGCTAGCCCCTCACCAATGGATTCAACTCCGCAGGATGAGGAGATGCCCGATCCCGCTGATGTTCACATCCACTCCACCCCCGAGTCACGTGCATCCAACATTGATCCTCGATCTGGCGATAGCCGGAGAAGGGGATCTACCCCGAGTAGACCATCCAGGATTGATGATTGTCCCGTGGATGACCCCGGAAGACATGCCGGGGCTAGTGGGGCTCCTGAGAGGATCGAGATATCGACTCCTCCCGCCCTCAGATCCCAGTCTTCCGGCGAATCAGCTGACGCTAGGGCGAAGGAGGTGTTCGATTTGCACATCCAGGAGATGCTCGAGAGAGGTGAGGTTTCCGGCTCAGTCGCGAAGGCGTTCCACATCTTTGCTGACCAAATCAGGGTACTGAACGGTCAGGTGAGTTCCATGCGAAGGGAATGGAGCGACGAGAGTCAACGGACAAAGGACAAGGTCGATCGCCTGGCAGCTGAGGTTGCGACCCAATCTGATGCCGGGAGGATGCGAATGATAGTTCAACGGTTCGCAAGGGAAGTTATTCCCGATAGCAAGGCCATTGTGAGGCAAGCCATCGATGAGCAAGCCGAGGTCGTGGAGCAGAGGATTAACCTATTGTCCCACGAGGTCCATGAATCTGTCAGGGACAATGAGGCATCGACTGATCGGCTTCGCCTGATGATTCAGGAAAATAGTGAGGCTGCCCGCAGAAGCCATGCTGCTTCTGAGGACGAGACCCTTAAGGATTTGGACAAGCTTGAGAAACGGATGTTCTCGGTAGAGAAAACCGTTGGGATGCGGACACCGGCAGGTGTATGGAACCCGAATCCTGTCGCGAATCTGTCCGATAGGGCCAGCAGCAGTGTGGTTGACGCGAATTTCAGGGAGTTAAACCTGAAGATTGAGGAAGCTCTCCTTGAACACGAGAAGTTTGCTAAGTGGGCCTCTGAATCTATTGAAGGGGTCAAAGAAGAGCACACTCGTCTTGTTAATCGAGTGTCTAGACTGCAGAGTGGAAGGGGTTCTCAGGAGGTCGATAGACCATCAGGGCATGATTCCCCGCAGGACTGGCATGAGGCTGTTGACGAGATCAATCGGAAGATGCATGATCTGGCTCGAGGAATTCAACGTCAACGTCGGGATCATGACGACATCATTTCGAGGTTTGAAACCGTGAAGTCACATGTTGAACAGTATGAAGCGAGATCGGCAATTGTGAATCGGGTCGTTGATGGCATCCAAGGGCAGATCCGTAATCTTCCTGCCAGCAGTGACCAAGTGCAGCCTGCCGTTAGGCGAGAGCTCGGCACATTCCGGAGTACACTTGAAGGTGTTATGCGGAGAGTCAGCGCTATCGATGGTAACGTGCGTAACCTTAGCGCCGCGAACAACAGAATCATGTCCCAGCTCTTTGAAATGGAGGGTCAATTTGACGAGGCTGCTGGCATGCTTCAGGGTGTCCAGCAGATTAATGAAGCTCCTCCACAACCCAGAGAAAGACGGAATGTTGGTTACCATGCGGCAAGGACATAGGATCAGGTCACCGACGCCTACACCAGGGGAGGGTGACGGCCGGGGTACTGGCCTGCCGGTAAGACCAGGCGAAGGCGTTATTTTGCCTGATCATGTTTTGCCGAATGTGCCCGATAGGGTCGATCCTTCTCGCGCAGACAGGCATCCCATCTATCCCGTTAGGGAGAGGTCCGACAGCAGGAGCAGGAGGGTTTGGGGGTTGCCTGACAGGTCGCATTCGCCACCGGAGCGTGCAAGGGGTGGTCCCCGCGCGCGCGCAAGGGGGGACGTTTCTATTTCCCCCAATAGGGATGCGGGTAGGAATAGGAGCCCGAGGCCTGCTGCCGTCCCCGATAGGGGATCTGAGGCCCGGAGTCGACAACCGAGGGGGGAGAGGCCGATCCGCGATAGCGGGAGCGTCTCTCCGAATTTTGATAGGCCAATCCGCGATAGCGGAAACGTCTCTCCGAACCCAGGTCGTCATTCAGGAGGTGGTGGGGATAATAGGGCCCATGCCGACATCCAGAGTCCTGGTGATGAGTGGAGGACTCCTGGGAGCAGAATCAGCGCCGACAACCAGAGTCCCGGCGATAGGCGAGGGACTGCTGGAGCTCCTTCGGATCGTGGACAGGCCTCAGCGCCGGCTGCAAGAGGGGCTCCCGGCGGTGATGGCCCAGACGCGCCGAAGATTTGTGCCCTTGATGATCCCAACGACCGTAGGCACCCGAATGCTGAATTCTCGTGTGTGACATGCAGTCGTGAGTTCTGCGGGCTTTGCCGTGGTGACGATGGGGACTGTTGCAATTGTCATTTCTTGAAGATGAAATGCTGGGCATGCCGCAAGAATGCTCAGGAGGTCTCCATGTATCTCTGCACGGATTGTGGGACTCACGTCTGTGAGAATCACAGTTACTTCGGAAATGACGGCCTTGAGCGATGTGCACGCTGCAATATTCGGCATGAACGCGCTCAAGCTGGACCGCCCCCTCCTCCTCCTCCCGGGGGAGGTGGTGGGCAAGGCGGACCACCTGGTCAAGGTGGAAGCGGAAGTGGTGGGCCTGGACATGCCCCAGCTCCACCGCCAGGTCCTGGACATTATGGTGGAGGCCAAGATCCCGCTGGGCCTTCTGGAGGCCCGAGTGGAGGGGCTCCTACCGGGGGTTACCCTGGTGGAGCGCCTGGGTTCCACGGTAGTGCTGCGGATGCCCATGGAATTGGGAACAATCAGTGTGGTTCCAGCTTCTATGGCCCTGCCTACGGAGGTGGAGTTAGTCACCAAGGGGTTGGCGCTGGCGTTAGTCAGTCTAGCAATGCCACAGGTTACCCCTCAAGTGTTGCGAGCGGTGGTAACCTTGGGCCGGG